TTGAACGTATAACCTCTGACATCGCCCAATCATTTAAATGATTCGGGCAATACATCTCAACTTACTGTAAACATTGAAGTACATCAGCAAAGACACAACTGAGCAAGCCTCACATCAAACTCTAGGAAAAACAGATGTACTCAAAGATTAAATTCAAATATACACACACCAATACCTACCAATCCAAATGAAGCTACCTATGGTTAAGGACACATAGGAGGACCAAGGGAAAAGTAGTAACCAGCCCGAAACACTTTTTGCATCCAACATTCTCTCACTATCCCACGAAGCTAAATTTCTTCTAACAAAGAATGAAGATGTTATGTGTCAGAGTTTGCGACCTTGTAGCGGGTTTGTGAATGCGTAGAGAACAAGGATCGTCCTTGCGTGCTCTACCTATGTTGGTAATATTGTAGGATACTTTGAGGGATCCTCAACCTCTTTAGTTGGTTTAATTTGAGAAAAACAACAACTCCTAATCAACACAAGGTTGAAAATAATACTTATCCGATAATCTTCATTATTGGCCTCAAGCTAATAAATAGCTAAACAGCCTTTGGATAGAATAGGCAAAAACTCATTCTTATGGAAAGGAAAAATACAATTGCATAATTCTAGCACTAATTTATTGAAAGGAAATAATATTGAATGAAATAACATTAATATAATTATTGATGGTACGCATCAATCACCCCTATCCCATTTAATGTAATTATTGATGATAAGCATCAATCACTCCCCTCCCATGATTCTTGGTCCCTGACAACTCTTCCCTCCTTAAAAATTTCCTTGTACTCAAGAAAAAAACGTGTCTTCAATTTTGCCAAATTCTCTCATGTGGCCTCAGCAGTAGAAAAAATTTTCCAATGAACAAGAACTTCAATTTCTCCACCTTTTGTGCGAGTTTCGAGAATGGCTTGAAGAAATGGGTGGAGTGCTGCTTCTACTAGTAATTCAGGTAGAGTGGGAGAGATTTTCTTTTGATCTCCAATGCTCTTTTTAAGGAGAGAAACATGAAAAACTGGATGTAATTTATATTCGGGTGGTAACTCCAATTTATATGCAACCGTGCCAATCCTGGATAAGATTTTAAATGGACCAGAAAATTTGGGACTAAGCATAGATTTTTCCTTTGAGCTTATGAAAGCTGACGATATGGGCGCAATTTTAGTTAGACAAATTCGCCCACTTGAAATCTCTTATCTGTGCGCTTCTCATCATAATATTTCCTCATTCGCTCCTGTGCAATTCTCAAATTGGCCTGGACATCCTTAATCACCACATTCCTTTCAAGTAGAAATTTGTTAATGGACTCCACACGTGAAGTGCCATGAACATAGGCAAGTAAAGTAGGAGGTTCGTGCCCATAAACAATTTCGAATGGTGTCTTTTTGGTGGAAAAGTGGATGCTTGTATTGTAACAATATTCCACCCACGGAAGCCAAATCACCCACTCTTTGGGCTTAAAACTCGTGAAACACCGCCACCGCATGTTCCCCTCCTTTTTGTTTTTGTCCCTTTGGTTGTGGGGGGGGGGGGGGGGGGGGGTGATAATCCAAGCTAAAACTGAATTTAATTTCATTTAATAAGAATAATTTTTTCCAAAAAGAACTTGTGAATACAGGGTCACGATCACACACAATAGACTCGGGCATGCCATGAAGCTTGAATATTCGGTCAAAAAATGTTTGGGTAATTATTGTGGCTGTACAAGGGTGTTTAATGGGAATAAAATGGTTATATTTGGATAATAGTCAATAACCACAAAAATGGTAGAGTTACCTCTAGATGTTGACAATCCATCCACAAAATCCATGGAAATATCTGCCCATACATGGCGCGGAATTGGAAGAGGACTGAGTAAACCTGCTGGCTTGACTTGGTCCACTTTATTTTTTTGACAAACCCCACACTCTTGGATAAATTTTCGTGTGTGCCCCTTCATGCCTTTCCAATAAAAAATTGATTTGATTATATGGAGAGATTTGTGGAGCCCTTCATGCGTGTTGGAATGGAATTCTTTAATTAGAGGAAGAATCAATTCAGATTTGGCCATGAGAGAAATCCAATTCTTAAAGAAAATTAATACTTCCTTGAATATCCATGGTCCCAAAGCTCCTCCCTCCTTGATTTTTTCCACCAAATCCTGCAATTGGGGGTTAGCTGAAATTTCTGATTTTATGAGATCCACCCAATTAGGAATAGGAGAAGATATTGCATAAATTTCAAATTTTTGGCAAAGGGCATCTGCAGCTGAATTTTCCTTAGCTTTTTTGTAGTGAATTTGAAAATCAAATACCAAGAGCTTCACCAACCATCTTTGATGAGCAGCTGTACTAATGGTTTGACCCAACAGAAATTGCAAGCTTTTTTTGGTCTGTCCGGACAATAAATTTGGCTCCTAAAAGATATGGACGCCATTTTTGAACCGCCTTAACCAAGGCTAACATTTCCTTCTCGTATGTGGATAATGCAAGATTTTTGCCTTGTAGGCTAAAAAAAGCGATTGGTCGGTCTCCTTGCATGAGCACTGCACCCAAACCCACGCCGGAAGCATCACACTCCACAATAAATGGTTGAGAAAAATTCGATGGAGCTAGTACGGGTCTGATGTCATTGCCAATTTTAAATCTTCGAATGCTTGCTCGGCGAAGGAACTCCATTTAAAAGAATCTTTTTTTAGCATATTTATCAAGGGTTGAGCGATCATTCCGTAGTGGTGAATGAATTTTCGGTAATAACCGGTGAGGCTCAAAAAACCTCGCAACCCCTTCAAGCTAAACCCCTTCAAGCTAGTTGTTGGTTTGGGCCATGTCATCATGGAGGAAATTTTGTCTGGGGTCCATGGCTACTCCACCATGAGAAATCACATGACCCAACTAGCCTATTCCTTCTTGTCCAAATTGACATTTTTCCTGCTTGACAAAAAACTCGTTAGTTTGCAAAACATGTAGCACGCGTCCAACATGTAATAAATGATCCTCCCAAGATTTGCCAAAAATAAGAAAATCGTCAAAAAATATCAAGACGAATCTATGAAGAAATTCCATGAATACCTCATTCTTGTCGCTTTGGAAGGTTGTTGGTGCATTAGTGAGGCAAAAGGGCATCACTAAAAATTTGTAGTGGCTTTGGTGCATGCGAAAAGTTATTTTCTCAACATCTCCCGGGTACATATGGATTTGATGATACCCCGACCTCAAATCAAGCTTTGTAAAACATCATGCACCATGCAATTCATCCAATAATTCATCGATAACGGGTATTGGATATTTATCCTTGATGGTAATGTTGTTGAGTGCCTGGTAATCCACACAAAGCCTTCAAGAGCCATCTCGTTTTTTAACCAATAGCACGAGGGAGGAGTATGGACTCGTGCTAGGCCTTACCACACCGAATGACAATAGCCGCTTGATAATCTTTCAATCTCATTTTTTTTGGTAATGGGGATACCGATAAGGTTTAACTGAGATTGGATTAGCTCCATTTTCCAACGGAATTTTGTGGTCTTGAGATCGTTGAGGTGGGAAGACTTGAATCTCTTGAAATATAGTCAAATGTTGATTCAAAAAAGGCATTAAATATGAATTTAAACAGGTTGTTGCAACTCCTTGCTTCTCTCCCAAATTTAAAGAATTAAATTGTAATAAAAAAACTCTTTTTCCTTTCTGCAACTGCTCCTCTAGATCACGATCAGCCATGATTTTATTGCTAGGCCCTCTGATCCCACGTAACTCTATTGTTTTCCCCTCCCACCAAAATCACATCCATAGATCATTGAATTCCCAAATAATTGAACTTAGTTTTTTAAGTCATTGAGTTCCGAAAATAGCATCACATCCTTTCACTGGTAAAAGGTAAAAATATACGTGGAATTGAACCTTTTGCACTAAAATAGGGAGCCCTTCACATTTCATCTTATTTCCATCCGCCACTTGAACCGAGAATTCTCCTTTCTTTATAGAATAAATTTCCATTTTGGTAGCTAACTTTGAATTCAAAAAGTTATGAGTGCTACCAGAATCCACCAATATTGTAACCCCAAAATCTCCAATATTTCCAAAAAAACACATGGACTGAGGTGTTATATTTTCTGAAATAGCATGAAAACTAATTTTGGGAATCTCTTCTTCTGCTTCTTCCTCTATCGCAGTCTCCTCCAACGGCTCATCAATAGAAGGAAAAAATCCTTCTATTAAAAATAACTTCTTGCAACGATGGCTTGGGGAAAATTTTTCGTCACAATTGAAGCATAATTCGTGCATCCTCCTTTCTTGCAACTCAGTCGAACTCAACCTCTTGATGGTGGGGTTACGTGCTCGAGTTAGAGATGTTATCCCATGGTGGTACCCTCCCTTCCGTTGGTCATACATACGAGACTCATAAAGTTGTGTCAGATCGATAGCGGTGGACAATGAAATTGGATTACATGCTTACACATCAACTCGTATTGCAACCTTTAACCTGCTCACAAAGCACCCGACTTGTTATTTTTCATACAAATGGCCAGCTCGATGTAACAAACGATCAAAGTCCATTTGGTAATCGCGGATGCTTCCTGATTGTTTAAGCTTGGTGAGATCCCTAAAGAAATTTTGGTATGTTGAAGGCCCATATTGTAAATGCAACTCGTACTTGAAAACTTCTCAATTGACGCCTTCTCGCCGTTTTATGAAACATTTATACCACAATTGAACATTGTCATCCAAGTGATAACCATCCATGGGGAGTTTTTCCGCCTCTTCCGTGCCTTGGAACTCGAAAAATTGCTTCACTCGACAAATCACCCGGTTGGATCATCCATGCCATTATAGCGTGGAAAGTCCAACTAAGTGATTTTGGGTGCGAGAGAGCCTCCTCCCGAAAAGGCTACGACGGGGCCCGCGAGAAGACTCGACATCATCCTCATGTCCTCCACCACGAGTAGAAAACGAGCACACATGCTCTCCATATGTTTCAAGAAACGTTCTTCACGAGCTTTCATAGCTTGTTGTAGTTACTTTTGGCCCGCAGCCAATGAGCCAAGCTCATTCTCCACATACTCGAGACGGTGGCCAGACATGCCTGTCTCTAATACCAAGTTGTTACGTGCCAGTGTTTGCGACTTTGTAGCGGGTTTGTGAATGGGTAGAGAACAAGGATCGTCCATACCTGCTCTACCTATGCTGGTAATATTGTAGGATACTTCGAGGGATCCTCGGTCTCCTTAGTTGATTTAATTTGAGAAAAACCACAACTCCCAATCAACACAAGGTAGAAAATAATAATCATCTAATAATCTTCATTATTGGTCTCAAGCTAATAAATATTCAAACAGCCTTTGGATGGAATAGACAATAACCCATTCCTATGAAAAGGAAAAATACAATCACATAATTCAAGCACTAATTTATCGAAAGGAAATAATATTGATTGAAATAACATTAAAGTAATTATTGATGGTAAGCATCAATCACTCACATCCCATTTAATGTAATTAGTGATGGTAAACATCAATCACTCCTATCTCATTTAATGTAATTATTGATAGTAAACATCAACCACTCCCATCCCATGATTCTTGGTCCCTGACAGAAGATTGTAATATGAACAAGCACAAGACTACCAATGGGAAGAATAAGTAAGAGAGAATGGGCCAAGGCTATTAATGTTTTTTCGATTAGAGCTATCCATCAATTGCCTATCAAAACCCATTAGTTGACCTTAATGCTGATATTTACTTTTTAAAATGCATCAACTCTTTAAAGGAATAACATGTTCTAATTACCAAAATATTAAATATTAAAATTTTAAAAATCCACATAAGCTAAATGGTCACATGCAAAATACTTGACCTAGATCAAATCATATCACTATATTTCTTATAAAAAAATTGATCTTCAATTTTTTATGACTTTCTTGTGCATAAAGACTTGTTATGTCAACATATAAGAAGTCAACCTTTATGTAATTCCAATGCTACATGTACCCAAACACTTAGCAAATTCAAACCATATTCCACTAAAGGTGCCTAGAAACACAACAACCTCTATACCTTATCCTTTCATTTCGCCAAACTCTACTTATAGGGACCCAATTCATAGCTCAATGGAATCGAAATGGGCCAAACCGGTATCCTCAATCAAGATATATCAAGTAAGTTACCTTCATTTGTTTGTGAAACATATCATATTTAAAAATGATGAACTTTAGACTCTATAGTCTACTCCAAGTAACTATTGTCCAAACAATGGGTAGAGGCAAAAAGAAGCCTTCTAAAGAGAGCCCACATGTGAGTGAAGCTTCAATTAACTTCTTGAATAATAATAGATCATTAGACCGAGACACCAACTATTGTTGATTTCTCAAAGTCTATTTATTTTTTGGTCCTTCAATACTTTTGTTCATGATCTTCTTTCCTATTCTTTTATTTCATTCTCATCTTCATATATTTCAACAAAAAATATATTTCTTCTATTTAAGAAAATACACTTCACTAGTTTTAAATCACAAAAGAAACAACATCATAAAAAATGTTTATCTTTCATTTAAAACATTATAGTAATTTAGATTTGGATCCTGTGGAATATGGAATTGATCATCCATGGATGACAAAGAAAGGAAGCTACACTATGCGACATGTTAAGCCAAGTGGTTGCTTGGGATCACTTTTACATTTTGTTTTCTATTTTTTTTTTAGATTTGGATCCTGTCGAATATGGAGTTGATCATCCATGGATGATAAAGAATAGAAGCTACACTATGCGACATGTTAAGCCAACTGGCTTTTTGGGATCACTTTTACTTTTTGTTTTCTATTTTTTATTTTTTTATATTTTATCTATGTTCTGATCTAAAATAAAACATGTTTGATATATTTGATTAAAATATTGTTGTTTTTGAATTTAAGTATCTTCAAAAACATATTAATTTTTTTTAAAAATGAAATACAAAAAAAATTATAAAAAACACACCAAATAATCATGTTTTTAAAAATAAAACAAAAAACAAAAACATAAACATAATACAAAATACATAATTGATATTAAACAAGCACTAAGTTTCTTATCCTTCTTTGTGCTAATTATTTATGAGAAATGGTCTAACAAAACAAGCCAAAAAATTAAATTAAAAAAAAAATAATTCATAACAAAATTTGTAAGAACAATTATAATTTTGTAACTATCAACCATACACGGCTACACCAACTTGCTAGCAGTATGCGGAAATATACATACGAACATGATCGAATCAATTTTATTTTAAATGTTTAAATAATAAAATTCATGAACTTAAAAAAAAGAAACAAAGTGAATATTATTTATATTCTAAAATTATAAATGTTGACAATGATTACTCTGGTCCATTCCAAACAAAAATTTTGTTTTAATTAATCCTATTTCGAGCATAATTTGTTAATTTTATTTTATTTTTTGGTGACTAAACCCACCACCATTGAAGCCATTGCAGCTAATTATAAAGATAGTTATAAAGCTGCTTATAAATAGCTGCGACGAAAAAGAATATTCTTTCAAAAAGATTTTATGAATATTATAAATATTTGTTTTTTTCTAAAAAATTAGATAATATATTTTTTATAGCTACCATAATTTAAATTGTAAAATTCAAATAAAGTTATATATTGAAATGTTTAACTTGTATTCAAACCATCAATTATAAAAAAAAAACATTCAAAACATTTTTCTATTTTAAAAGAGAATAACAAAAGAACAATAATAAAACAAAAATAAATAAATAGAAAATAAAACAAAATAAAAAGAATCAATTCCAAGTTCAAGCATAAGGCTTACCCTAAAAGGAACAGTTCAACATTAAGTTAATAATTATCAAAGCAACACACACACACACCACCTTATCTATGCGTCAAAAGGTGCATTTCGTGTTTTAAAAGATAAAATGTTGATATTTTCGATGTAATATGAAAGATTTAACATGTATACATTTTAAAACACAAGTTTATATATATTTAAGGAGAGAACTCAGTGTTAGATAAACATAATCTCTCTCTCTCTCTCTAAGTCTCTCTCTCAAGCATTACTCTCTCTCTCTCTAATTCTCTCTCTCTCAAGCATTAATTAAGAGAGTGAGACTGTAGCTGGTTGTAGAGGCTGAATTTTTGACAAGAATGAAACAAACTTGTTGAACTATTTTAGTTCATAGGGCTTCGTGTTGTTTATAAGCACATACAGCTCGGTAAAGACCTTGCATCGTAAAGAGAGTGACAAATAGAGATTGATAAAAATTTTTTTAGGGAACCTTGGAAATATATTAAATTTTGATCTCCGGTAAGTAAGAGGAAGGCGGTTCTCTAGAGGTTCCATGGGTTACCGGATTCGAGAGAATATAAATAGAAAGCAATCTCTGAGGAGAAAGAAATAGATGAGGAATTTGGAAAAAAAAGGAATGAGTCCTCCATCCTCATTTTTCCTCCCTTTTTATACATAAGGGAGAAAATTAATAAAATAATTAAAATAATACATCCTGTACTATATGTTGTCTTTCTCCAGCATCTTAATAGTTGCATATGTCAACTATTATCGTTCATCTGTCAGGTATTGATGGTACGGTGTCCATCCCTGATATTTGGATGAAAAAAAAGAATCTCAAATGTCGGGAAATGTCTTTAATAAGGAACTGATGAAAGCCCTTATTAGTCACGATGGCTCCATTGTTCTCATGATGGCTTCTTCTGATATTTGACATTGCATAGATGAGTTGGTGTGTCCTTTCTAGAAAGATGGGAACGATCATACTGGTCGGAGAGCTTGATTTAGCCACTTCAACGGGTGAGCTCAATTCAGCCACTTCGGCAAGTGGCTTGATTTAGTGAGAGAAATTGAATGTACAAAATTGTATGTACAAAATTGAATGTAAATGAAATTTATTCTTTTATTTGGTGAATCACAGCAAGTTGATCGCAACTTTCAGGGTTGCTTAACACAATGGAGTTATTCATTTTCAAACAAAATCTTGCAACCATGTTGCAAAGAATGGCCAAAGAAAGCCTAGGACCCATCTGCTCCAATTTTCAATCAGACAACAATATGCAATAATCTGCAAGGATGAGCATGAAAATACTAATGCAACAATGCATTACACCTTATAAATAATCACACGTAAACTCTACCAGGACCAATAAAATATTGCAAATAACATGTTGCAATATAGGCAACAAAAGACGATGTTGAAGAATCACTAGAAACGAGAATGATATGTCACAAAATAAAACAAATTCGAAAGCAATGTAACACAAAAAACAAACAAACAAAAGCATCACACGTAAACTCTACCAGGACCAATAAAATATTGAAAATAACATGTTGCAATATAGGTGACAAAAGACGATGTTGAAGAATCACTAGGAACGAGAATGATATGTAACAAAATAAAACAAATTCGAAAGAAATGCAACACAAAAATCAAACAAACAAAAGCCACTGGCGTGGTACGTTGTCTTTTATCATCTCTTCCCAAAGTTCAAATAAAACCACACACAACTAAGAAACGCCAAAAAGAAATTCTCAAATACAAAATAATTACCTCCAACCAAAAAAAAAAAAGATCACTAAAACAAAGTTAGAACCCTCCACAATGCTGTACTCTAATGTTATAATTCTATAGCCGCATTGCCATAGAAAAATCAGAACTAAGATACCTTCAACTCAATAAATGTCGAATTCAAATCAGCATTTTGACTCGCATCTCAAAGAAAGAGTTTTGAAATATCGAAAGAATGAGCTGGAGAGAGGGCATTCATAAGTTCATTAGGAAAGAATAGAGATACAGTGTCCAGGGATTCATTTCCCCTTGTTATATTGATCTTTTCCTATTAATAGAAGGGTTTTTCCCATATAATATAAACAATAAACCTTAGCCATTTAGACATACTGTACTTTTTTGACTTGTAAGTACAGTATTGTTGTCTAATTCATCTAAAACTGCAAATATGACTTAAAAATTTCTAAAAGGTAAACCTCCATATATATATATATATATATATATATGTATGTATATATATATATTTACACAAACACATCAAAGAAAGTAAGAAACATAACCCAAGATATGTGCCTAATTTACATCGATCAACATTTTGCACTCATCCAGTCCATCTAATTTTAATACAATCATAAAAGGGAAATATTTAGT